TAGGTTTCATGAAGGTGAAACTGGTTCATGTCGTAATTGAACAATGAGTAGTGAATTGGTTTCATGGTGAACTCCGTTTCATTGATGGTGTAGTTGATCCGTTTAGTAGGTGAAATGGAAAATGAAACGGGTGCATTATATATTTGGTTCGTCATGAAATAATTGCATGATGAAACAGGTACATGATGAATCTGCTCCAGAATTTTGAAGATTGTAAGGCTTAAAGGAATGAATTCATCAAATTAGGCGTGAAATAAGAAAATTAATTTACATGAAACAGGTTTCATGAAGGTGAAACTGGTTCATGACGTAATTGAACAATGAGTAGTGAAACGAGTGCATAATGTATTTGGTTCGTCATGAAATAATTGCATGATGAAACGGATACATGATGAATCTGCTCCAGAATATTGAAGATTGTAATCTGCTCCAGAATATTGAAGATTGTAATCTGCTCCAGAATATTGAAAATTGTAAGGCTTAATGGAATGAATTTATCAAATCATGAGTGAAATAAAAAAATTAATGTACATGAAACAGGTTTCATGAAGGTGAAACTGATTCATGAGATATTAGAGAATATGTATTTTGTTTACAATTTTGCCCTTATTACTGATATAAAAATAAAATTTTAATATGTATTTTTTAATTTCCTAAAATAAACTAAACTAATCTTGACCATCAATCAAGAAAATGGATAAATGAGATTGGTTTACACGGTTTACACAAATGGAGACGGTTTTTATTTGATTGCTCCTCTCTCTATCTCTCTCTCTTTCTATATATATATATATATATATATATATATACACTATGTAGTATTCTCTATAAAATTGTAGTGATCCAAATACTTCTACTCTCACAACCCCTAACCCTTAAACACAATCTATCATCACAACCCTTAATACAAATATGAAATCATGTCAAAGTGATAATGGTTTCATGTATGTTCAAAGTGACGGGTTAAAGGTTGTGAGAGTAGAATGCTTGGATCACTACAATTTTATAGAGAATGCTACAAAATTTTTATATATATTACATTTGGTCAAAAAAGGATAAAATATCAATTAAAATCGCCCCCGATGTCTCGTCAAATCGTCATTGATATGTCAAATTATTGCGTCATAAGTTATCTTCACTAGAAGACGAAATAGAGGTCAAAATTGCCCCATGGGATGATTTTTACATTTTGAGGGTGATTTGCCCATTTTCAGATATAATATCTAATTTTTGTATCCCAAATTGTATACATATGAGACTCATCCATACCTTATAGTCAAAATTGTCACCCATGGACGATTTTGGTGGTCATTTTGTGAAAAATCTTTGAAAATTGGTCAATTTGTTAATGTACAATGTATAAAATAGTTATTTTGGATAATTTCCCTTACTTATTTACCTTATGAACTTATATATATATATGAAGTTTCTCCCTAAATTGGAAAGAAAGATTGACCGAAAACAAAACCTATAACATGTGAAGTTTTTTTCTCTCTACATCAGAAAGCAAGATCGATTTGAAAACAAAACCCAAATCATACAATCGATCGGAAACAAAACCCATAATCGTAAATTACGATCAATGAAAATAATAGCCGAAAAAAACATAATGTATTAGATATGTTTATTAAGAATCGAATTAGAGTTTTAACATAATTTATACATATAAATATAGAAGGTGATTCCAACCCAATCCATTTTATTTACAACTAAGATATTAAATACATGTTCTGACGTATCAAATCCACCGAAATTTCCACCTTAAATATATAATTTTTATTTAAAAAAAAATGAAAATAAATGGGTGAAGGTGCAGGTGGACAAGTGTGTGTATGGGGGGGTAAACAGGGTGGTATGATGATTACAGTCGGTGGTGGAAACCAAACGTATATGTGACGACCACCATAACGCCGTTTCTTCAATCATGCTTTATATATAAAATAAATTATGGAAAAAAATGAAAGTAGAAGGTCTAGAAGCTAAAAGGGTATGGAGGATATATGAAATGCAAATAATTAGTAATTAATAGCAATTAATAAATGAGAGTGAGTAATAATGAACAGTTAACCACCCATTGCAATTGCATTGCCATTTACTACTTCTCTAATATCTGTACATGTGTTTAATTAATTAAATAATTAATAAGAATGAGGACAAAAGAATCATGGTTACTCATTTATGACCCCTCTAATTCCTTTTTACTGAAATCATGTTCATCTGGGGAGTGGCATGGAGTTGACCACAATATTTTAATTTCGCTGCTTTTTGCAATATATATATATATATATATATATATATATATATATGGGTTATTATACAAACCCTTACATTTGTACAATCAATACAACTCAATGTCAATCGTTCATTTAATTTGATGAATATGTAATTTTATAGAAGTTTTGATTGTTTTTTAATATAAAGTATTGATCATAATTAATGAACCTTATTTATCTTCCATAAATATTTAAATCATAATAAATAAACTCTCATTATTTTTATAAATATTTCAATTTATTGGATTGTATTGTTTGTACAAATATGATGGGTTGCATTTGAAACAAACTCTCTCTCTCTATATATATATATATATATATATATATATATATAGGTTATTATACAACCTCTTACATTTGTACAACTCAATGTCAACCATCCATTTAGTTTGATGAATATGTAATTTTATAAAACTTTTGATTGTTTTCTAATATAAAATATTAATCATAATTAATGAATCTTATTCATCTTTCATAAATATTTAAATCATAATAAATGAACTCTTATTATTTTCATAAATATTTCAATTTATTGAGTTGTATTGGTTACAAATGTGATAGGTTGTATTTGAAACAATCTCTCTCTCTATATATTTATGTATGTATGTACGTACGTACGTATGTATGTATGTATGTACTATATCGGTATTAAAAATCAGTGATTGTTCTTTTTAAGTTGGAATAAACGAACGTGAAGATTAATTTCGATGGAAACTAATTTAGGATTATGTTGATCATAGTTGTTATGGTTTTCTTTTTTGTTTCTTTTTTAACATATATATATATATATATATATATAGAGAGAGAGAGAGAGGGGGGGGACGACAAAATCAAACAAAAAGACAGTCAATTTACGAGAAATTGCGAAGTTTCAAGATCACGTGTGATTACATAATAAAATTATATATGAAATAACATGTCCAAAAAGACGTCGACGACTTGGTCTTGGTAGCAACAAAAGTTCACCCGTTCTATGGCCGGTCAACACAACATGTTTGTACATGTGATTATATGTGATCTTGGAATTTCTCATTTTCTCGTAAATTAACCGACTTTTCATTTGATCACATAATATATATATATATATATATATATCACAAATGAATTCACTCACCCTCTTCATCTATGATGACTAAGTACGTGAGGTTTGAACCCCTTGATCGACCTCTCTGGAAAGCTGGATTTTACAAGTAATTGAGATGTCGCTAGGTCAAAAAGCCATTTGGTTTATTCTTTCTTCTTTTGTTTTGTTCGTTCACATGTTGGACTTCATCAAAAATCAAGAACCGTGCAATAAAATCCTAACCATGTACAAGTAAATGTAAGCAAATCGCTCTATGGCGTAAACGTAAATGTTCTGTCCATTTTATTTCTTAATTATAAATGAAATCATGTATGTGATTACCAATCTTAATAACTGTGTTTTTCTGGACTTCAACAAAATGAGAAGATTAAAATTAAAGAGATATGACTATACAGATATTTGGGGAAAGGGGGGGGGGGGGGGGTTCACAAGTAGTTAAAAGTCAACTTTCAACTAATGGGTATGCTGTACATATGATGCTAAATCTGGTCCCAATTGGATTTTATACCTGTAGTAATTAACAAGAAATGGTTCTTGTTGTTGTAGGGATACATTTCTCTTGTTTGGCCCCATTTCTAATATATATATATATATATATATATATATATATAAAGATCTAGAGAGAGAGAGACTTCCTTTAAGTCACCAAATGAAACCCTAGTATATATATATATATATATATATATATATATATAGATATTTAATTTTGAGAGACTTTGTGTCCTCTAGATCTCCTTTAGAGTTCTCCAAAGGGCTCTTAAGCAATCTTTATGGACACTACATACATGACAAGCTTTTTTATTAACAACTCAAAAAGCAAATTCTTTTGGTTGATCCGAACCATAACTACGAATCTTGTATCGTCTATTTATATACGTGACCATTAACTACAAAATATTTATCATAGTTCACGACCTTCCAATTATTTCGAACAAGTTTGGAACAACCAGTGCAACCAACTAGCTAGCTAAGTTTAATTCGGAACCAATGTTCATCATTAAGAAGCTTAGGTCTAGTGTTAACATAACACGTAAATTATCGTGTTTGGCTACCCTTGATAACAAATAAATCAATTTACAGAAACTCGTATCATGGCCCCTTTAATTAATTTAAAAAGTTTACGCTTACGTCCCATATGAGTACTGTAAGGAACTAGAATCTAGCTTGGTACGTGATGAAGAAGATTCTTACCCGGTAAGTGTTTACATCGTTCCTTTTTGATAGTTGAATATGTTACCCGATAAGATAAGTGATAATGATGATATTAGTGATAACTCTCTGATAAAAGTCATAGTTAGGGTCTTAGTCAGTAGCGGGTGGGTGTGGCATATAAATTTAGCGCCAAAAATCTTCCCCACCAATTTAGCCCTATCCCGACAGCGAAAGACACAGACAACTTACACTTTATCATACTAACAAACACCATCTCTCTCTCTCTCTCTCTCTCTCTCTCTCTCTCTCTCTCTCCTTAATTACCCATATGCCATCATCTTCCATCATTAGGGTTTATGTTTCTCTCTCATCTTCTTGTTGGTTTTGTCCTATATAACCCTATTTCTATGCCATTCAGCCATTGGACCCTCTTGATCTTTTCCCTTTTTAGTTTCTTCCGGTTGAATCTAATGCTTTGCATCGGGTTCAATTTCCAAGATCAGACAACCTTAATCTTCTTGTCTTTGATTCATCCCCAGTTTCCTCCTGCATGTCTGGAGTCATATCTGAACCACTCCTGATCAGATCTTTTGCTACCCACTTCCATATTAATATATAACACTCTCTATCTGTATCTGTATCTGTATCTTATTAGAAGCTTTGTTTCTTGAATCAAAGGACGGACGATTAATTACTTTTCAAGAACAGTATATATTGGTATGAATTTACTTCATTAAAAGCATGGGTTTTTAATTCATTTTATGATGTATATGTTAATAGCACAATGATTGATCTAACAGCATGCCCATTCATGTGTATTTGAGCAAGGTATAATCCCGTATTGATGTTACTACAGTGTGAAAAAGTATACAAACACAAATTAGTGCCACCTTTGTGTGTGTGTGAGTGTGTGTGTCTGCTAGAATTATGAGTTTTCATTAATTATTACATCCCCAATTGCATGTTACCATGATCAATCGCATGCTATATCCATTTCTTCTTTACTTTCTTTTCTTTTTATATCAATTCATTGGATCAATGAGTTGGGCAGTTTTCTTAGGATCATTGAAAGAACTCATGGAATCCATCAATAATTGGACATATATGCTTCAGAATTAATTTATATGGGTCATGATTTATCACTTTTCTTGTTGATCTCTTGAATCGTTTGTATGTGATCATCCATGACAGCGGTATAAGCTATATGTTGTAATGAACGATAACTGGTGGTATATACCAAATACAATTTCTTTATGTAGAATGAACGAATCAATGTAATCAGTTTCTTACTTCTTCTATTTGCACTTCATTCTTTAGGATATATAGGATACCGCAAAGGAATCAACGTGATCAGTTTCTTGCCTTGTTTTCATGATGATTTGCACATTGTTTCATTAATAGATTACCATGCATAAGTCGTATAATCTACAACCGAAAACTACATAGACGTGTTTCTTTGGCTTATTCATTCCTTTATTGTATATGTTTTCATTTCAAAAACCCTATTTTCATTTAGTTTCTTCTTAGCTTCTTGTTGTTATTTGCATTCATGAGAGATCTCGAGAGAAATTGGATTCCAGAAACTATGTCTTTACTTCTTGCTCAAGATTGGTACTTCTGAACAAAGAGATCATGTCATCGTTAATCGATCTAGCTTCAGATTCGGAGTTCCATAGGGATCGATCATGAACTTCAACTAATGGGTATTGATCGATGTCTTGAATATAAACAATATGCATCTACCCTCAGTTATCTTGAAAATTAATTGTCATCTTATGCTCTTGATCATCTTCTTCTCTTTCCACTTACTGATCAGTACGGTGGTTGGAACTAGTTATGACACCATTGCACCATACTACTAAGTACTTTCTGTTGTTTCTGCTTTATATTTTCTTGTGTTTATAGCCATGTTTCAACATGCATTTAACTAATTAATTAATTAATTAATGAACAAAAAGATTTGATTAAATAACTGAGCCTGCAAATTCACTGGTTCAATTTGGCTACACCTGAAGTTTCAAATGCTTGTTGTTTGAAGAACAACCACTCAATCCCTTTCTATTACAGATACTAAGAAAACAGTGATCATTACATTATGTCAACAGTCGAAACCACTTGACAGCAGAAATGATAAACGATAATCATTTTTCAATTAATTTAGTGGGATACATCCATCATCAGTTAGATACATGAATCTCAATTTTACATTGTGATCAGATTAATTGAATATGGTGTCTTTGTCTACTGTAAATTTGGTTTGATCTAACTAAACTGATCTACTGAAGCAGATTGGATTGTAGGTTTGATCTGTAAGAGGAGATATGGACACTTTTTCACATGTACCTCCTGGCTTTCGGTTCCATCCCACTGATGAAGAACTTGTCGATTACTACCTTAGGAAAAAGATCAACTCAAGGAGGATTGACCTAGATGTCATCAGAGATATCGATCTTTACAAAATCGAGCCATGGGATCTTCAAGGTAATACCTACAACCGATGTCATTTAACCAAACACACACACACATATATAGGAAGGATTCTCGCAAATTTGCTAGAAGGCGAGAAGATATAATATATGCAGATAACTCAGACTTGGAAGTGATTATGGTTTTCTAGGGTATAAAGTTACATTGCAACTATAGTACATTCATTCTTAGCATCAGAATTATGTGCAAAACCATAGCTAGATTAATGAATTGGACTCCAGCTTCATGATGCTAATTCATAAGTTTAAATAGAGCTATGCAGGCTAGGTACCGAAGAGCAAAACGAATGGTACTTCTTTAGTCATAAAGATAAGAAATACCCAACAGGGACTCGAACCAATAGAGCTACAACAGCAGGATTCTGGAAGGCTACAGGAAGGGATAAGGCGATTTACTCGAAGAACGACCTGGTTGGGATGAGAAAGACATTGGTCTTTTATAAAGGCCGTGCTCCCAATGGACAAAAATCAGACTGGATAATGCACGAGTATCGCCTTGAATCGGATGAAAATGGAACCACAACTCAGGTGAGTAATTAAGACTTCCTTTTTCGAATTTTGTTGATAAGATGTAATTTTCTATTTAATAAATTTTCTTGATTTGGAAATAGGAAGAAGGATGGGTGGTATGTAGGGTGTTCAAGAAAAGACTACCCACAATGAGGAGAGCAAGTGAGCATGAATCACCAATTTGGTATGATGATCAAGTCTCATTCATGCCAGACATTGACTCACCAAATCAAAACAACTCTTACTCGCACTTGGCTAACTATAACTATCAATACCCTTATGGTTCTTGCAAGAAAGAACTAGATCAGCTGCAAAATTACCAGATTACCCCAGATCACTTCCTTCAACTCCCTCTTTTAGAGAGTCCAAAACTGCTCCCCACCTGTAATTCTACCATGCCCATTTATGGAATTAACATAAACCAAGCTGGAAGTATCAACTATCAGCCATCCTTACTCACACAAGACCAGAACAACAACAACATTCATCAAAATCAAGATCAAAATGTCAATAACCAAGTGACAGATTGGCGAGTTCTTGACAAGTTTGTCGCATCACAGTTACTTAGCCACGGTGATGTTTCAACTAAAGAAAACCATTACGCAAATATTGAAGACAACAGTCCCATCTTCCACTCGCATGACGATCATGATACATCAAATTCTGAGCTCATTACACATCTGAACAAGCAAGAACATGAGAGGTCCACGGTGCCAGAAGATGCCTCAAATTCCATCTCCACTTGTCACATAGATCTGTGGAAATGAAGAAAAATCTGGGCGGTTTTCAAGGTTATTAATTGCAAATATAGAAGCATATTTCAATTGTTACTGTACATAATAAAGATCTAAAGTGCTATATATACATGTAAACTTATTAACACTTATACCTGGTTAGACTATATATATATGCCACTTAATTAATTAGTGTCAATTAAGTTCATGATTAATGGTATTATACATCATAAGTGAAGTCTAAAACAATCAAGGGATGGTTTAAGGAATAGGATTGTAGGTATGGAGGTCTTGCTGTGTGTCGTGGTACTACTTGGCATCACAGCATCATCTGTTATATGTGTAATGGGATTTATTAAAATGCCTGTAATCTGACAGCCGTAAGCCACTGTTTATGCTTTTCTATTGTTGTTCATTTCATTATTAAAGCATTGAACTTTTTGAGAATTTTGTTCGATCCTGAGGTTTCATACACATATCATCCTGTTGCTTTTCAATTCTTTTGAAGAATGGTTCGGTAAATCATATTCGAGCGATTCAAAAGTTGAGTCCCTAATACCAAACGATGAAACCTTAGTATAAGAACCCATGAATCGATCATACCCAAAAGCCATTTAGAGATAAATATATGGGAATACCAGCTTTCCCATGCATGCATAGCTGGACTCTTACACAAATAGTACGTACTATTAGCTAGTGAGCTACAGAACGTGAATATCAGCTAGCCAACCCCTTAGGGGACGAAGAAACTTGTAAGGTAAGTGAAGGCAAGAACAAAAGAGAGAATGAAGTGCATATATATTGAAGTGAGTTTGATATAGCAGCTAGGGTTTCTATGTTTAGAAAGATTGTAGCAAGGTTAGACATAAGAATACGGTTATAGATTTCTATTTTCATGCTATACAAAAGGAGATGTAGTATGCTTATAACCAAAGTTTGCCTCCACACACGAACAGAAAGATAGGGTTTGATGGAGAGAGAGAGAGAGAGCATGCTTGATGATGATGCAAACACAACTTTCCTTCGAAGGGATAGCGAAATTATCAAATATCTTTTTAACCATTTTGGCGTTGCCTTCTTCAAAAAGTAATCTTCTAAAACTAATAATAATGCAAATGTTACTTGATGGGGTTCCAATCATTATTTGATTTTACTCTTTAGAAACCATTATAAATTCGTAAAACTATATTCCACACTAATTGCAAAATCAGTTTTTTATCATTTACATTTCCAAAATATATACAAAAGTTATTTCTTACAATACATAATTACAAGAGTGAATGAGTGATATTTCTTAATTTAGTATCAAAAGTCAAATACGATAGTTTATCTTAACAAAGCTTTCTTCTCTTCTAATAATGTAATATATATATATATATATATATATATATATATAATTTGTTTCAAATACAACTCGTCGTATTTGTACAATCAATGCAACCCAATCAATTGAGATATTATGGAAATGATGAGAGTTCATTTATTATGATTTGAATATTTATGGAAGATAACTATATATGGTTCATTAATTATGATCAATATATTATATTAGAAAATAATCAAGACTTTTATAAAATCACATCAAATTAAATGGACGGTTGAGATTGAGTTGTACAAATGTAAAAGGTTGCATAATAACTCACTTCTCTCTCTCTCTCTCTCTCTCTATATATATATATATATATGTATGGATTCAAACAAGTACACATTTATTTTAAGAAAATGCAAGGATATTTCCAATCCAAACACTAAACACTACAAAATCAACTCCAACCACACATTTAAAAAACACTAAAAACCGTCTTTAATATTATAATAATAATAAACATCTTAATATATTAAACTTTTAATCTCACACGCACACATATATATAATTATAGAAACTCAATATTATATTAATATACATTCATAGAAGCTTACTTTATTGACCTCTAAATATAAAGGCAAACATTTTTTACCTCCATTTTTTAGGATTTTAATGTTAGGTTAGAGATGAAAATACATTTATTTTTGTATTTTAGTGTTGAGTTAGAGATGATTTAAGAATAGTCATTTACACCAAAGATACGGGTGACCTAGGTCACATTTGATAAAAGTGTTCTCACGTTTTTTTAGATACACTTTTGATATAAAAAAAATCATAATTTTCATCAAATATCACATGTTACATCCACAATCAACTCATATGTGATTATATATATACATATATTTACATTTACAATTGTTTTGGTGATGTAAATATTATCGCGTATGATAATACATCACTTTATATTCAGACATATATTATCATATGTGATACGTACAAAAATTCACATAGTGAATCATATGTCAAAATGAAACTAATCACATGTGATTCAAATATAGATCTAAAAATAATAAAAATATAATGAATTGAATGGGATATCATGTGATATTTAACAAAAAGTTATAATTTTTTTTATCAAAAGTCTATCTAAAAAATATATAACTTCATAAAAAGTTATGAACTAATTAAAATTAAAAAATAAATATTAAAAGATATCATGAGATTTTCAAAGATTTAATTATTCAATTCAAAATATTGTAGTTATTCTAATTTCTAAATTATTTTTCATTTTTTATTTACAATATTTTCTGATTAATGAATTATTTAACATATATTTTTTCTCATTTTCTTACAAATTAGTTTATTTATCGTATCAAATAAAAATAATAAATACATTAAAAATGAAAAACAACCTATATATTACGAATTATTTATAATGAATATCTCTGTGATAAATATTCTCGATTGTCCATTATGAATCATAAATGTGATTGTGAATGGAACTATCAATTATGACCCATTTAACTAAAAATGAGTTGATTTTATTTATAAATATCTTTGACAAGTCAACGCGTTAAAATAAAAAAAATAGCTAAACGGAAATAACTCAGATAGTTGTAAATAAATTCTTATATGGTTTATTTAAATATTAATATTAATAATTTAAATATAGTTCTTGTAATATATTAGTGGGTTAATTTTGTATTTCATATTTTATAAATTCTACTTTAAAAAAAACTCTGATTTCAGGCAATCTAAATGCGTCTTGATGCATTGCACGAGTATCCTTCTAGTCTAATTAAAACAGAATGCATGTTGCCTTTGCTGCAAGTAAGAAAACGTAATGCAACGCTTATACATTTAACCTATAAACAAAAAAGCATTATTGAAAGAAGTTAAAATTTTATTTTTTCAGAAGTTTTTTTCAAAGACGTCAAAGGACTTTTGATTTAGCAGTATCGGAAGTTTTGGTCTTTTAGAAACATCTCCAACATATTCCTAAAAAAATTCTTTAAAATGGAGAATCAAAAGTCAAAATCTTCAAAAAAAAATTACATTCATTTTCAAAAGATTCTCATTTTGAAGAATTCAACATTAATTATAATATTAAGATATTATTTATTTCTCTAAATATTTATTTTCCAAGTTTCCGATTAATACTTTACATGATAATCATTTTTGGGATGATCTATATATTTGGAGAAAAAACAATTTTCTCTCGTACTTTCTCCATTTTAAAGATAGTACTTTTAGGGAAGCTATTAGCACAAAATATACTCTCAAAATCTACATTTTCTTTATTTTAGAGAAGCTGCTGCAGATGTTCTAAGAAGTTAGGAATTCAAACTTCATCAAAGAGAAACATGATATGAGAGTTTGTTTGTTACATTTCCACTATATAAATATTATATATATTTTTTAAAGAATTTTTTTTAAAATAGGTCCGTTAAAGTAAAAACTAAAACAAAATTCAATACAATTAATTTGGAGCCCATGAGAAGAAAACAAGAATTTATATAACATTATAAATGACCAACCACTTATTGCGACCACGATCATACATCATGTCGCAAACCTCAAAAGAATTATCGTTGTTTTGTTTTTTATTAACCTGGATATGCAACACGTTATGCGAGCCGACTAATCTCAGGACGACCATCTACTTTGCAGATAATCCGGAGTCACCCCATTTGAACCTCTATGGCCACAAGGAGATTTTTATTCCTCCATAGATTTGAACCTGAGACCTCCTAGCACTTTTGACCTCTAGAGCCAAGCTCAAGGTTGTTTTTTAAGTATATAATATTTATATATGACAAATGAAACTCATGTAATGCATCGCTTTTGATGAAGTTGGAACTTTTGACTTTAGAAAAACAGGTTATCGGATACGAGATAAAAGACCCTTAGGTAGCTAGGAATGATAGGTTGTATAACACAAGTTTTCAAATGGTGTGTACATGAGCTTGCATTGTTGTTGTTGAACTCAAAGGGCCATTTTGTAATCGGGTTAATAGGACATTTAAAATCTCACGATGAATCTCATATTTCAACCTTGCATGCCATAACTTATTAAGGGGTTGTGTTGCAGTTGCTGAATGGTTTGGTGTAGAATGATTAAAAGACTTTCATGATATAGTGCAAAATGAAATATAATTATTTGGTAATTGTTTACAATGAAATCGGGACGCTTAATGGTTAATGGAGGCTTAGGATACAAAAAATCATTCAGAGAATTTTAAAACCATTAAGAGGCAGACGTTTTTTTGTCAAGCAAGATTCGCCTCTTAATGATTCAAATATTGTTTCTTAATGAAACTATTAAGAGGTAAACAAACAACCCCCAAGTGTTTCTAGTCCTGAACTACGTACACTAGCTAGTAAGCTTTTTAGGTAGCATGCATACAAGCAAGCTAAGGTTTCCGACCAATGGCGAAACTCATGCCAGCATTTAGCAATTGCAACTTCCTTCATTCATAATAAAGAGAAAAACTCTTAGGTAAGAAGACGTTAAGTGACACCGATAGTTGTCGCTAATAACCAGCTTTCAAGTAGCACTTGGCATAGTGGCAAATCGCATTAGCGACAATGGAAATCGTCGCTAACGAGCTGTTTTTAAGTAGTGTACACACAATTAAACCATGCATGCTATGTATTGGTGATCAAACCTAGTTAAGATCAAATTTCTAGCAACAAACCAATGTACTGCATGCATAAGAAACTTCAA